CTAAGAACGGCAAAACGTGGTAACGGATAGAATAGAAGGTAAAAGCGTAGAATACTCACAGTATTATCATAATTAACACCAATACAGTTTTCACTTCTTTAACTGACTTCAAAAAAGGAGGACATGTGGATAGATCTCAAATAAGGAAATTAATAATACAGTGCGTTGTTTCTTCCTTATTGATCTCATTAAGTTATTCAATTTTGTTTTAGTATATACTAATTCTTTTTATAATGTCTTAAGTTTTAAAATGGGTTAAGAAGAATGAATCGGTGCAGCAGTTGCTCAGCTATTGGCTTCTGCACTGGATTCGTAGGTTCGATTCCGACACGGGAAAAGTATGCGTGACCCACAGATTGTTCCGGATCTGGGTTTTATTCCCAAGGAGTGTTGGCGTCAGCCGGCCACATGGGTCGTTAAAAAAGAGTCTATAGAATTAACAGCATGATTCTTTTGTTGTGCCGACCCCTTCTATGCCGGGTCAAGGCGGGAGAAATAAGAAAAAAAAGATAGGAACCAAGCAGTAGTTTAGTAATGCATATACATACTGCAACAGTCGAAATTTCCAATTTCAATTCGGATAAATATTCCTCTGGAAAGTCGATAATCAATTATGCGTAGTTCTCATTTTTTTAAATATTTTTCGCTAAATAAAAAATATAAATATACAAGTACATTGGCAGACCCTAACACGTTTGTCGAATTTATTGATGTTTTTTTATTTTTGTTCCTAAGAGTTTATCGCATCGAATTAAATTATTTATCTTTAACCCATTTATATCTGTAAGCTATTTATCGCATTTCATTAAAAAATGGCTTTGGCTTTGTAATTACTAGTACACTTTTTAAAGATATTAAGAATTATTACATACTTCTTCGAAAATATCAAAATATGTTTTGCAGAGAAAATAGATTGAAATTGATAAAGCACCAATAAATTATTTACGTTCACGTCTCTGAGGGTCGTACCAAGTAAAGTAACAGCCTATATATATCCCACTGCTGGCCAAAGGCCTCCTCTATAGACGGTATTAGGGCAGAGTCTACCACGCGACCCTACAGTGGTTTGGCGGACTTCACTATATACTTTCACTATATCTTCGAAATGTTTTTATTTTGTTATTATTTCGAAAATATGCAGGATTCCTCATAATGTTATCCTTCACCGCTGAGCACATGACAACTCAGCACGTAAAATTAACAATTTCATTCGTGCCGGCACCGGGACTCAGTTTGTTCGAGTATGTTGAATCCCATCAAAAACATAAATGTGAAATGAGAGCGTAGTTCTACGTTATGATATATGCCTTGCTTGTTGACTTCAACGACAAAAGAAGTGGTATCTAAATGGGTGCCAAGTCCGATGGCCAGTCCTGAAATTTATTTATAACAACAAAGCATACTTTATAATTACTTAGAATATCTCATAATTATTATAGTGCTAATCTCTGAATTTAAGATTAAACATTAAAATATGTAGAAAAAGTAAAGAGATCGCTATGCTGGAAAGGACGCGCCAAGCATTGCTTCAAATGCTCAAAAATAATGTAGATAAAAGACGTTAAGATTGTCGTCGGTGTGGCAATCGGCCGTTTAGCTTAGTGGCTAAAGCGTCAGGCCGCGAATGCCGAAGACGTGGATTCGATTCCCATTTCTACATATTTTAACTTAGAATATCATTACTTCTTATAACTTAGGATAATATATTGAAGCTAATCCGACTTGACTATTTCTAATATACGAAATATTATTAAGTACTTAGTCCAGTCATAGAAGAGCCATATGTTCGATTTCTAGTTTCTGCCAGCAAGGCAAATTTTCTGAAGAATACTTACAGCTTTAGAGCTTTCGAAGGCTATAATATAATTCTTATGTTCAAACCTTCTTATGTTTTTATGTTAAGGTATATGACGAAATGATATTTTAAATTGCCATAAAATATTTTCTTATGTTATAAATAAATTCCATCTAGTTGGGTCGTCCCACACTGCGATGGCCAGTACGAGGCTGCCACTCGAGAACCTTTCACCAAGCTTCGTTAGGTTTTTTCGCCTTTTCTTTTCTTTTTTGCGACGACCTGTGACCGCAAATGTGCGGGAAGTCGATGGATGCAGGTGGCTCAGGATCGTACTTCATGGCAGTCTATGGGTGAGGCCTATGTTCAGCAGTGGACTCAAACAGGCTGAAATGATGATGATGATGATGATGATAAATAAATTTTGGGACCGGTCATTGAACTTGGCGTATAACCTACAAAAAATTTAAGACACCATACAAATAAAGGTAATAAATTTTAAAAAATAAGTAACGAAATTAAAAGCAAAGTTCGATGTGTGTTGTGTGGCAAATGAGCTGGCGGCTAATATGCTGTTGAGTGTTAAACCCTGCCTATTGAAATTTGCAACGCCCATGGGTTGTAGTAGCGTTACCACGCTTGAATAAAGTGTCCCCATGCTACCTTACACGACAGTCGAAAAGCAATGATGAGCTAGGTAAAAAGTATGTGTTTAATAAAAGGTAACATCTCAACGGTAAAAAAGTAAATAACATCTCTGATACTATGAGGAACGTATAGCCGTACAATATAGAGCTTTCATAGAATTTACTTGTATGAGTCCACTAGGAGTTCAGCACAGTTCACAGAAGAATTATATATATATAAAAATATATTAATCATTAGTCATGTAATTTGGTTTAATAAAGGACTACACAACAAAGTACACTAAAACACAACACAACACACTAAAATGTTGGTTTCTGAGGTTCCTTCCTTCTTTTCAATTTATAAAAAAGTCCCTATTAAAAGTATGAAACAAAATAAATTTGTTTAAATTATAATCCGAAAAATTGTGGCATTAGATGACTAACCTAATGCATGTAACGAAAACAAAGTAGATGTAGATAAAGACTATAGAGCTTGATGATAGTAGAATTCGAGATCTGGTTAACAGGGACAGATGTTTAAACAATACTTTTTTTATAAATAATAACTGAGGAAAAACTTCACCTAATGATATAAGTGTAATATGTAACCTATAACTGAAATACTAAGTTATTCACCGACTGCTTGATTGAACCCGCCACCCATTACATTCTCAATAAAAACATGTTGAAACTGTGAATTTGACCATTGAACAGTTATTGGTGCATTAATTGAATATTAATATTTGCGAGTGGGAACAGTAAATTTCTGAATAAGAAAAATAAATAAACTTTTACGCACACTGATAAGTAATTGATCTTCTCATGTTTCATCAAAACTAAACATATATACATTTCGAATAAATTAAAATGCTTTAATTAAAGAGCGCCAAATTGATTCTGAGCTTTTCCCAATTAAAACCTCTGTAAGCTGATTAAAATACAGTCGAAAATTGGGGGATAAGGATGTCTCTTTATCTTAGATTTGAATGGTTCGCCTTTCTGTTAAATGTATATCTTTTATTAAGTAATCGCATATAAAATATCCTTTGATATGTCTTTTCGTAACACAGAGAATAATATAGTGCACTAGCTATTAACCTAGCGGCTTCGCCCGCTCGGCCAAAGTGAATTAACAATGACTTTTTTATTATACACTAGAATATCTCGCAGATGGCTGAATTTTTCCTACTCAGTTAACACTTAGTTGACAATATCTTTATAAATTATAGCCTATGTGTTATTCTGATGTATAAGCTATATTATTGTAAAGTTTCATTAAAATCTATTCACGAGTCTTTGCGTGAAAGAGTAACAAACATCCATCCATACATACAAACTTTCACGTTTATAATATTAGTAAGGAAGTAAGGATAGAGATTGAAATAGAGAAGAAGCAGTGTGCAACCGAAACTGCGCATAACACTCTCGGGGCTCTGGTGACATGCTGGATATAACGAGGTTTAGACTAGCTAAAACCAGGAAACCGTTTCTTGGTAGATGTATTAACTTATGTAATAAAATAGGAGACAGCAACAAACAATCAAGTGTCAATAATTTCAAACATCTTGTAAAAGCTACTTTAATGGATAGGGCCTATTGTAATGTCGAGAATTACATTGAGGGCAAGGATGTGTGGAAATGATTCTTGCTTTGAACTTGCAAGTCCCCTGGCTCTTAAAATATTAAATTATTTTGTGTACTTAATAATAAAAAAAGATAAGACTGCAGAGTTTCTTGCCGGTTCTTCTGTGACAGGTCTAGTTTAGTAAACCGGTGGTAGTTTTTTGACGTTCAATAAGATCTTAAAATAATCCTATAATATAGAATAAAGAAATTTTGACTTTGACTTTCCTTTATCTAATCCCATCTTTCTCTATCTTAATATGCGGAGCACTTTCGAAGCCAACTTGGCTTTTGCTACCTTAAATTGACTTCAAAATGTAACGCTACTGCACATGTCAATACCAAGAATTCGAGAGTGTTTGCGTTCAGTTCATAGATTAAAATGTTAACTAAATTGTCAACATTTAAACTATGAAAACAGAATACCTGTTTGTGATTTCGGTGGCATATCCAGTTTCCGAGATATATAAAGCCTTGAAAGGAGGAAACTTTCCGGTCTACCCCGATTTTAGGTATCTCGACTAATTGATTTAAAATGACGGTGGCATTCACAGAGTTTTTGCATATAAAAAAACGCAGACTGGAAGAAATGGGGACAGGTCTCAAGAGTTACACGTGACTCCCAAATGCCCCTCAAACTCAAAGGGAAGATTTAAAAGACGGTGGTGAGGCCTGTCATGGTGTATGGATCCCAGAGTTGGGCAGCAAAAGAGATGAACGAGAGAAAAAACAGTTACACCAAATGTTGCTTATTAATTAGCACCATTTATTGCAGTTGCATAATCAGCTTTCAGCAACAGCTATCGTTGATAAGTTGGGGACATTATCGCGGCTTGCGAGACAGCTGTTTAAGACTATAAAGCTTAGATATATGGCCGATAACGTGTCTCCTATATAAGCCATAAGGAGCTCAGGAGGATCCAGTGAACGAAACGTTGTCAGAGAAACGCAATATGGCACGATTGGCCTGGGCTCTCCTTCTTCTCGGTAAGTTGTCGAGCCGCTATCAAATATTGTGTATACGCACTTTTGATACGTGTTCTTTTTAATACCAATCACGTTAACCTTTGTCAAATATCAAACAGCAAAATTGAGATCGACCGCTTCGAATTATTTGTTAAATTAAAAAATATAAATAATTTGTCATTCTGTTTTTACTATTCAGCAAAAGTTTTAAACAATATTAGACTTCTATTTTTATACCAGTTTAACTCGGCAAGTGATACTATAAGTGGTTCTGTAGCTTGGCTCCGACTGAGCTTCAGTTAATTTATACGGTCACTTATTTTGGTGCATGCGTTTTTTTTATGCGAAAACTTGTCAAACGAGCAGACGGTTCACCTGATGTTAAGTGAATACCACCGCCCATAGACATCTGCTACACCCAAGGGTTACAGATGCGTTGACAACCTTTTGAAAATTGGGCTCCGGCTACCTCACTCACCAGAGGAAACGCGAAAGTATTTGTCATACTTCCTGGTCTTCTGTGAGGTCGTGGTACTTCCCTGCACAGGCTTGCCTATTCGTGCAGCAGCCGAGGCTGCTGCGTGGCCCTACCACCGTAACCGTATTTTTGCAATTTCACTCAAATTGATTGAACAAACCCAACTTGAGTGGCAGCGCTTATGTTAATATTTCTTCAGCCGCCGCTTGCTCGGCGTCGGAAGAAGACCGCATCGTAGGCGGCCGTCCTGTCGCTATTCAGGAGCACCCATACATGGTACAAATGGAAAGGTGGTACGGTTTCCTTGTCTGGTCTCAGAGATGCGCTGGCAACGTCCTCACCTCAAGATACATATTGAGCAGCGCCCAGTGCTTCGCTGGACCGTGAGTATTAATGAAACTATATGAATTTAATTCAGTAGTTTTTGCGTGAAAGTCTTTTTGCGGGAACATCCGTACATCCGTACATACAAAATTTCGCGTTTATAATATTAGTACGAACTGAACGTCCAGACTATATAAAAGTAATTAGATTCATTGTTTTAAGTTTTAAAATTTTTAAACACTTTTTTGGTCAACATGATTTTTTCATCCAAAAATATTGACTGCTGGACATTTAGATTGAACATTTTATTTTGTGTATTTGAAACATGCTCAATATCATGCTCTCCTCCATATAAAGTTTAACTACTACAGATCTTATATTTTTGGACGTCATGTACTCTGACAGAGCTACAAATTTTATTTTACCACTATTATATACTCCCAGTACTCAAATATAGACGGTCACAACACATTATACAAAAAACTTAAAACAGTACATGATTATGTGCGTGGTGGGCAAAGAGTGAGTGAATATAGATAACTTTATTAATAGGTAATCATTTTACTTCCATAAACAAAACAGGAAATGGTATTGATATCATAAAAATATTAGATACGGATATGATAAAAGGCTTTTGTGTCACATATTGTCCACAAATGCCTTTTTGACGAAAGCCTGTTTAACTTAACCTATAATTATCGTTTAGAAGAAACTCTTTTTTTATTCCTAAATATTTATATTTAATCGGTTAAAATAATGGTTTTTGATCACACTATTTACTCAGTCGACGCGCGTGCATGCGTTACCCGTTTTTAGTCCAATTTTCGCCGTTAAATTAAAATTTTAAATATTGTCGGTACTGTTTGGTAAGGTAGAATATTTTTTAGGAAAGATCCTTAAAGAAGAGGACTTCTTTAAGGATCTTTGGATATCTCAAATAGTTTTAGAAATATTGGCAAAAAACCAAACTCAATTCAAACCAAATTTCCACTTAAACATTTTTTGTAGATGCCATTACGAATTCATTCATTCAGTGAAATCTAAAAGAAAATCATAATCTTCAGTGAAGTTGAACAGGTTTTCGTCAAAAAGGCGCTTGTTGGCTAGACTAACAGATTTTCTTTGACCTATTGAGGGTACAAATTACATTTAAGAACATAGTGCGCTATTTTAAATAAATCGCTTTAAGGAAATAGAATAAAATATTAGAGAGAGTTCAACCGTTATTACTTTCATTGTAATATTGTCACTATTTCTGAATTTGAATGTTAATAACTATTTATTTCTAGCTTTTCTCCTGCGGCTTCGCTCGCGTTGAAGCCCTTAAATAAATATCTTTCTTTATAAATATATAATATACAACACTTTACCAATTAAAATAGCCTATGTCCTTTCTCAGGCTCTAGACTATCTGTGTAAAAAATTTCATTTAAATCGGTTCAGTAGTTTTGGAGTGAAAGCGAGACAGAGAGACAAAGTTACTTTTGCGTTTATAATATTAGTATAGATAACGACAAGCAGCACTAGTGGTTAAGTCACCGTCCGGGAACGCACCCAAAAAGCAAGTGACCGCTGCTCCAGGCGACCATGTGCCTCCTCGCGCGAATAAATGACGTCATATCCGGTTTAGTGTTGCCAGCGACAACAGTTAACAACAGTCACTAATTATACATACCACAGGGCACATTTGTACTTTCCGTCAGTGGTAAGCACATAGCATCATCATCATCATGAACATAGGCCTCCCCCTTCGAACGCCACAACACATCATATCTTCCTAATATTATAATTTTACTTACTGCATACATTGGGTAATTTTTTTAGTGAGTGCGCGAATAACTAATAGCCAAAAATATTACATATATTGGTACGAGCTAGGGGTTCCGGATTGGTATTTAATAAAACGCCGATGTGGTCTTTGGCCGACTGGTCGTAACAATATATGAAAGAAAGAAAGAAGAAGAAACGTTAATTCTCGGTCTAACTTAGAAAACTTAGAAAACACAGTATATAAAACAATATTGGTAAAATTTATAAATAAATGTAAATATAATAACAAAAACGATAAATAAATAAATAAGTATATAGATACAGAAACTAGAATTCGTTCTGATCCCGACACTGGTTTTCAATCCGGCCCGCATTTCAAGACAATTCGCACAACTTATACAACAAAGGTTAATACATTTCAGAGCTCAAGATATTTTTTTGTCCTTATGTATTATCTGTACTTATTTTCTGTATTTTTTTTATTTCCTGTGTTTTCTTTCTATGTAACTCCGCGCGTGCAATAAATTATATGCCATTCTATTCCATTATAAAACGCCAATTTTTTAATTTACCGCTTTCCGCAGATTTGCTGTACCCCAAAATCGCCGTATCAGAGCGGGCACCTCTTACCGCAACATCGGCGGTGTCGTCAGTAACGTCGCCCAGATATACATTCATCCGTCTTTCGGGCAAAACGGTTACGACGGTGACGTTGCGGTGGTACTCCTCGAGACTCCACTCGCTTACTCGAACACAATCAGCCAGGGCCGCATTATCGCCCAGGGCGCTACTATGCCCGACAACTTGCCCGTAATCCACGCCGGATGGGGAAGACCTTCGGTAAGTCTTATATATTGTTTTGTATACGAGAGATAGGCAGTTTCTATACCGGTTGATTTTGTAGACGATGTACATACTTCGACAATTCAAGATAGTGTTAATTCAGCATTCCATAATTTAAAAAATGTAAATATTTTATTTTGACAAGAAATAACCAGAAAAATATCAATTCAAACATTATTGATAAGCGGTTTAGTACATAATTACTAAACTGCTCGATCAGCGAAAACTTTTAGTGCTCGTCAATATTTTTTTGTATTGAGACGCTAAGGAATTTATTAAGGTGTCCATAATGTTTGAAAAAATAAAAAGAATCTTTGAAAAAAAATTGAGGTCACAAGTACGTACCAGATTCAGATTTAGAATCAAATTTTGCATATGTTATGTTAATAAGTCTGTCGTCTGTAAAATCCCCTGTATATACATAAATATACATATATTTGTATATAGAATGATTAGTCAGCCAGATGATAGTCCTATTAGTTTATCTAAGTTTTATGTTTTGTTCAAAGAAGGTTTGGGCACACATATAAAATAAATTTTCGTTTTTTATTTAAATGTTCCTGATGGGGCACCTTGTCTATTAAATATTTTTTTTATGCGAGAAGGTGGCTAGGGAGCTGGCGGTTCATCTGATGTTAAGTGATGCCGCCAATGGACATTTGCAACCTTGCCCCTACGAGTGTTGTAAACGCGTTGCCACCTTTTAGTAAAGTGGACCCTGGTTACCTCACTCACCAAATGAAACGCAGAAGTGTAACACTTCCACTGTCACACCAGTCTTCTGTGAGGTCGTGGTACTCTCCGAACATACCTGCCTATTAAGACTGTTGCGTGGTCCTACCACGGCGCCTTACGACCAAAGACGATATGCCTACGCATTTCCTCAAGATCACGCCATCATTTAGGGGGTACCGATAATCGTTGAATCGTAAAAGTCGTGTTACTTTTTATTGCGCGGAAAATACCGAAGCTATTTTGTACGAAAGTGTTTACTTTCATATGTCTATTTAATGAAAGCTTCTACCAGACTTAACAGAAGATCGCATTGAGGTCTTCCTTAAAATAAAAATAAATACTGTTTTCAACGTTATGACCGTTGTCTTGAGCCTAGTCTCTCTAGTTCTCGTCTGTTTTAAACTTGAAGTTGTACGTCTTATTCATTTTATTTATTTCCATCTGCAGTTCTTTGGTGAGAGAGCTGAACAACTTACCAGGGTGTCTGTCCTAACCGTCAACCGTGAACTCTGCGCCGAGCGCTACCTCAACTGGCCCAGCCAGCCGCTCGTCACTGAGAACATGATCTGCGCTGGAATCCTGGACGTTTCCGCCGACGGAACCTGCTTCGGCGACGCCGGTGGTCCCCTCTTATACCAAGACATCATTATTGGCCTCGCCTCGTGGGGCAGAACCTGCGCCAACGGCACCTACCCTGACGTCAGCACCGCCGTTTCTTCCTACACCAACTGGATCGTCGCAACCGCCGTTTAAACTTACTCGTATGCTTTTAAGTACCCATTATAAGTACGGTGCCATCATTTTGGAGTTAATACAGTGTAAACGAGTATTGTGGTTTTATTGAGGACAGTAACGTATCATCTGATAGGGCGAGTAGCAAGTGTACACATGCAAACATAAAAGCAAACAAATAAATATAAAATAAAAAGGTATCCAGTTAAATGTGTTATAAAAAAAACGTTCAGGTGTGGGTTGAACTTATACGTCGAGGGTTCCTTACCTAGCCATTGTGTATCGGCGAGATGCGGTAATTATTGAGCACAAGTCTTAGAAATGTATCACGGAACTCAAGTTACCGGAAGCAAGCACCGTCAGTTGTGGTTTGTAATTGTGGCAGCTTAAATCCCAATGGTTCTGGATTGCACTTAGGACTAATAGAATTAAAAGTTGTATTATATTCTTTAGAAACATCCCTGACAGAAAATTTTGATAAGTCTATCTGAATGATACTTTGTGCCAATGCAATATTGGATATGAACAATTGTTCAATTTCATCACGCTCATCTAGTTCATTTGGCAAACTAAGTGCATTTAAAATATCTATTTGACCTTGCGAGTCATCGAACTTATTAGAAAGTGCTTCAAATTTACCAAGTTTTAGATTTAGTTCAGCTAATTCAATTGAATTTAATGAATTCTTACTTGTGATACTAGATAAATAATTTTTAAATTTAGTTATTTGTCCTTTAACCGAACTTCGTCTAATTGTCAATTCTTGCAAATCATCATCTTTTCCCATTATGAAATAATAAAACTATTCGTTTAGTAAAAAACACAAATATTAATTGAGGTAATTACGCGGAAAATAATTATGAAATAAAGAAGTTAAAAATCTCACGCACCTCGCCTAACGTAACCTGCCGAACGGGAAGCTGGAATATTTCTTACTTGAGTGTAGTCCTCGCTTTGTCCCTGGAATGTTCGGAGAAATATTTAAATAAAGAAAATATATCACAAAAGAAAAGTTTCTTAAAATGGAAAATATTTTTTTTGTTCGTATAAAAGTCGGCAGTTAGGTTGTTCGAAAGATCTAGAAAATTCTTCGTTTTAAAATTCTATATAAGTACATCATCTTGTATCTTGTATTAACTGATGTTTTTGCTTTCAGTCCCGAGACTATTAAAGCTTCATCGGACGCAGAACCGGTGGGCTAGCCAGAACCCACGGGTTTGGACCCTCCGCTATGGGTAGGGTCGCGAAGTACATCATATATTCACCTTCAATATTTTAGATAAAAATTGACTATAAAACGTAAAATGAGATGTACGCAGAAGAAACTATATAGAAAGGAAACAGGGATGAATGGTTAGTATGGACTACGAACGGAATAATTGTTAGGAAAGAACACTTAGCTGCATTGGCCTGGGTGCGATGCTAAATGCTGATCGCTGACCGGCTTGACTGCAATGGCTGGTAGATTCTTCTCAATCTTCCTCGATGGAGATGGAAACTAGCTGCGGCGATAAAATCTGACCGGCGTTGTTAACCGTCTTTGAATATATTTAATTTCTTAATTTATTGTCCTGTCACGGTCGCCAATTTTATGTCTCATAGAGGAAAAACAAATTGAAAGAATTGTTAATTAACTACCGTCATAGAGTTTTTTTTGTAGTCCTGATGTTATTTAATGGCAAACTTGCGATGCTGTTTCTTTGGTATTATTTCGAAAATATGCAGGTTTCCTCGCGATGTTTTCCTTCATCGCCGAGCAAGTGATAAGTCAGAACTTAAAATTAACAATTTCATTGGTGCTGGCACTCGAACTGGTCGAACTCGGGTAGCTTGAGCAAATTAAAATAAAGGCGAGCGTCCGAACACTGAGGCGGCTATCACGGCTATACAGAGTACTTGTAAAAGTAAAAGTAAAGTAACAGCCTCTACATGTCCCACTGCTGGGCAAAGGCCTCCTCTATACAGTGGGTATCAGGGCATAGTCCACCACGCTGCCCCACTGCGGATTGGCGGACTTCACATATATTCGAAATATATTTTTTTTTTGTTATTATTTCGAAAATATGCAGGTTTCCTCACGATGTTTTCCTTCACCGCGGAGCACGTGATAAGTCAGCACTTAAAGTTAAAAACTTCATTGGTGCCGGCACCGGGGATCGAACTCAGGTTGCTCGAGTATATTGAATTAAGCGCCCGGACACTGAGCTATCACGGCTCTTCAGAGTACTTGTACTATATTTTATTTGACTATTAATTTTAACTGAGGTACAGTTTCAGTAAAAAAATTATCAGGTAATTGTGCGGAGCTGGTGTCTATTATAGGTGTAAAAACCTGTATTACACATCACCAGGTCTTCACCCCACGGAATCAAGTTAAGCACAGTTAACAAAGCTGAAATAATTGTACATTAAATTAATTGTCTTAAGTAACTGTCCAGGTATAAGGAGATTGAATAAAAAGAGATCAACATATGTGTGTGAGTGTGTGTGTGTGCGTGTGCGTGCGTACGTGCGTGCGTGCATGCGTGCGTGCGTTAATGTGCGAGTTTATACTTAAAATGTTTGTAAACATGAAGAAAATTTGATAAATTAATTTGATAACAAAAAAAATTACAGCCTAAATAATCGATAAAAAGATAAAAAAACAATTTCGTGTAAGTCACGACTTCATTCTTAAAACATCTCTTATTATCTGGTGGAACAACTTTCAGTAGCCGATTCTAAACAAACCTACACCGAGCTGTGTTAGATACACGTTCGTCAATCAAAAGAGTGGAAAGTATACGGCCATCCTGTTTCTTTGTTTCTGACACGCCTATCCAAGCTCGTGGGTGAAAGGGAGTTTTTAATTACTCTTTATTTATCTATCAAAAGCTTAGTGATGTAATGTAAAATCGCTGGGAGTACAGGGGGAAATTTTGCCCATGGGGCTTGTATGAAGAATTTCTCATATATACGGTTTATAGTATGGTCCTGTTCAGAAATCTGCTTTCAACTGCCTGGCGTGAGCCCTGACGTCCTCTGCAAATTCGAAGATCTAACTATCAACTACAACATATCCTCAAAGCATCACTAGGTAAATGACCCACCACACGTGGTAACCCCGGAGGAGGTCCGCCCTTCTTCTCCAAGCAGTCTGCGTTGTTGCATTGGACACGACACCGCTGTAGCGCCTTACACCAGTTAATAAATAATAATAAATATGTTAGGACACATTCTTTTTACACAACGTTCTCTAGTCCCAAACTAAGCAACGCTAGTACTATGTGTACTAGAAAACTGATAGACATACTTAAACATACTTTTCTTTTGTAAATAAATACATATCATACATATATAAACACCCAGACACTAGAAAAACACTATGCTCATCGATCGAACCCACACCCTCTGTCGCAGAAGGCAGGTACACTACCGATTACACCATTCGGGTCGTCGATCTAAAAACATAAATTATTACATAATGCGTTCTCACCGTGATCTCTACCGATTATCACATACGTTCACTTGAAGGTTGCAATGCTTAGATAGTTGTTTTAATTTAATTTAATAAAGTAGAGAAAAATGTCGAGCAAGTAGACGTGGACCCAAGGGCATATGCAAAACAAATGTACATATCTTCCTAAGTTATATTTAATAAATAGGTAATAAATTATCTATAAACGATAAAATTTTAGATATAAAGCAATATTTTAATATAACATCAGATAAGTAAAGTGTGAAAGTGAAAAAAGTGCGAAATATAAGAATAAAATCAATCAAATGTATAAATGAATTACAAATAAAGAAAATTACACAGTCTGGCCGTGTCGAAGCTACCTGACCTTTATAAACGAAAAAACAGCGGCGCAATAATAATGTTATTTCCGGTTGTTCCATGCTTTCTAACTCTGAGTATCTGCATAGACACAACCTAGTAGCCAGAATCCTACACCAGGAGCTCGCTCTGAAATACGGCCTCGTGGATCGGAAACTGCCGTACTATAAGTACTGTCCGGAGGCTGTGCTCGAAAATGACCGCGCCAGGCTCTATTGGGACCGGCCCATCATCACGGACAGGACGATTGTCGCGAACAAACCTGACATCGTGGTGATGGACCGGGCACAGTCGCGGGTATTTTTGGTCGACATTACCATTCCATATGACGAGAACCTCGTGAAAGCCGAAACAGATAAGAAGACAAAGTATCTGGACCTGGCTCACGAGGTGACCGACATGTGGGGTGGTGTGCCGGCCGAAATTATCCCGATAGTCGTGTCTGCGAATGGGTTAATCCCAGTCAGCCTCTCCAAACATCTGAGGCGACTGGGACTCCGGGACGGATCGCTCCAAGCTCAAATGCAGAAAGCGGTGCTCCTCGATACCGCCCGCATCGTCCGCCGGTTTCTCTCCCTATCGCCCTAACCCTCGGCCGTTTGGTCTCCCCTGCCGAGGGCTTCCGTCTGGTTGGGTCCTATTTATAGATGTATTATATAAAATATTTTTATAAGTATGTTTATTTTTATCCATAACATTTATTTTATATATGCAATATGTATCTATATTTTTATTTATAAACCCAACAAGACGAGGAAACAAATGAAAATCCCCCTATAATAATAATAATTACACGTCGTCATTATTTAATACATTTCGCTCAACCTTAAAAATTTGCTATGTATCGTTAGCAAACAGTACAACATCACACAACTCGGGATATTATTTATATATACTAAAAATAATAATGAGCCCAAGATTGATCCTTGTGCGACACCCATTTTTATGGGGACCCTGCGGAATTGACATCGTTAAAAGATAATTTTTGAATTCTGTTACTAAGATAAGAGGCTTCTGTTACTAAGGAATGACATTGAGAGCGATGACACGAATGCCAAAATAATCTAGCGTTACATACATACAAATATACAACTGAAACTAAAAGCGGGTTAAAAATATATTGCCACGTTCTTTGGTCAGAAAGGTCACAACAGTTATGCTGGTATGTTAACTGTTTTTTTCTTGATGTCTAGGAAAATGTTCGACTATAGCGTCTTCAGAAAGGATCCTCCTTCACCACGACCACGCTTCAGCGCACTCCGCAAAACAAACAATTGAATATTTGTCTATGGCAGATGTCGAGATAATGGGTCGTCCGCCATTTATAATCCGCACCTCCGCGCCCTGCAACTGTCATTTATTCCCAAGAGTCAAAGATAAACTCCGACTTCGGCTTACGAGCCCCGATGATGCGGTGAATGCTTTCTAAAGTGCCGTAGAAAAGTCTCCGTAGCAAGAATGCGGGTATGCACGCACGGTGGTACCACGGTGGTAGGGCCACGCAGCAGCCTCGGCTGTTGCACGAATGGGCAGGCCCGTCCGTGTAAGTACCACGACCTCACAGAATACCAGCGTAAAGCGGGAAGTATGACAAATACTTTCGCGTTTCGTCTGGTGAGTGAGGTAGCCGGAGCCCAATTTTCAAATGGCTGTCAACGCTTCTGTAACTCTTGGGTGTGGCAGATGTCCATGGGTGGCGGTATTCACTTAACATCAGGTGAACCTTCTGCTCGTTTGACAACTTTTCGCATTAAAAAAAATGCATAAATTTTCTAAGATCTTTCAGTGTGACCCACGTATGGGAACTTCACTTCGTTGCTATTTGTGTCAGCATAGTCAATACTGAAGTTCACCGTTTTTATGTCAATTCTATCGATTGCACCGTTCGGTTCCGATGACCAAATATTCAAATCCTTACTAATATTATAAAGGCGAAAGAATGTATGTATGGATGTACGGATGGATGTTTGTTACTCTTTCACGCAAATACTACTGAATGGATTTTAATGAAACTACAATAATATAGCTTATACATTAGAATAAGACATAGGTTATAATTTATATACATATTTTATGTATATCTGTATTTCTGTCTTAATGTTGCACCTTCAGCCTATTCTACGCAGACGTAGTCGCGGGCAGAATCTAGTTATACATTAATTTTCAACTTTAGTAAACTGTGTCAAAACTCTCGTCAGTGTTTTTATATTCTCCATCGAATACTTGCACTGACAATCGTAGTATTATGAGATTAATTATCATATGCGATACGGTATCTATAATCCCAACAATTTTCAGGGAATTAAACAAGTATAACACTGACTTCTGATAATCTCCTGATTTGACCGAAATAATACAATATAAAATGAAATGCGAACTATATTGCCAACGTAAACAATAAACAGTTTTGAATAAATGTTTCAGTAATTTCGTCTTTCCAATATTATTTATCTACCTAAGCTTCCAAAATATATTGATATCTACGGTCCCTTTGAACACTTTCCAGAATTAAAGGTCGCCATTCGATGTTTTAATATCTTAAAGTCTTCTATCATTAGTGTCTTTAATCTAGTTCTGTTAATTATAGAAAAAAAAAACCCGATTGGTATAGTGGGTAGTGAACTTGCCTCTTGCGTCAGAGGGTGTGGCTTCGATCCTCACTACTAGAAAAATATTGTGATGAACACAGTTTTTTTCCCAGTGTGAAATAATAGAAGTTTTTATGTAAGCCGCCTTGCTTAAGCGCAGTACTATAACTTCGCAATGATATTAATTTTATTTTCATCCGACTGCGGAAAAAAAGGGAGGATCTTGTGTTTGACCATCTCTTTCTCCTTCTTTACATCGGCAATTATCAAACAGCAGTTAAATCAAACAGCTTAACTGATTTTGGTAATCGATATGTCGTTACAATCGCCTTTATTACGGGTATACCACTAGATATATTTAAATTAAAACATTTAAATTGATATATTTATATATCGAATAATGGATATATCATATTTATATTATCTGCACCGAATGCATGTTTTCATGAAATATTTTCTTACCGCTGACCGCTTTTTGGCTTGTATTTGAACTTCAATTGTTTATTATTGCAGCAGATACGTTTATGAATATGTTTTCCAATGAACTCAACATTAATATTAAGGTAATATTAACGGAATACTATGTTTCATAACTTTTATAGCTGAATATGGGATAGAAGAAGACCATATTAATTCAATTATTTTTTTAGGTTAAGAATAACTATTCAGCGAAATGCAGCTAGCCTTCTTGGCACCAGGCCGCGTGGATTACATATTATTAGATAATATGTAATTTTAGATAGATTTAATTTTGTATATGTGGGATAAATAAAGTGTATAAAAATATTTATGTCAAGTTGAGGAGGTACTGTGCGAAATGCGTAAGATATGTATTGTAGGTGAATAAAATACCAAGACCGGTTTTAGTACCTTTAATGAAATTTGTGTACATATATTTAGCTCTAAAACTTCAATTATGATTAGTGTCAAAAATTGACAGTGCAGATAAATAATTAATTTACAATGTGCTTCGTCACCGGCTGATAAAAGATAAAAATATAAAAGCCGATAAAAGATAAAGATAAAAATAAATTCATATAAGGTGCAACTTTATGGATGAAACATGTCTGTCAATAATGGAGATGTTCGGCTTACTCATTTTACAACTTGCTGGTATGTTGTTTATGTTAAATTAATTGTATATTACCAAGACTTTGTAACAACTATCCAACTTCTATCCAACGAGACTTTCTTAGAAGAATCCAAATCTATAGAAACACGTAGTATAAAGAACAGTTCAACGAAGGAACAGAACGATGACTAAAAATTATACATTCAGTTTGATTCGTTGGAAATAGGTACTCCTTAACAATAACTAATTGAATTTATATAATAACTATTATTTCTATATTATTTTATTGCAATTGCTTACAATATATTTATTCAAAAACAAATTCAGACGACGAATTTTACGAATTTTATTACTTCTGATTTAAGTAACTTGAGTTTATTGCTTTAGCTGATAGTGCTAATACGATAATGTCAAACACTTCAGTTTTTCCTGTAACCGCTAATGATTTATTGTCCTGAAGGTTTGAACTTAACGATCGAAAATAAACAAAATAAAAGTTATAAAATAGCTTACATTAAGTCATAAAGTTTCTTAAGCAAAAGTTAAAAATCTTTAACTACCTTTGTGATTGAGGACAGTTATTCCAACCGTTATCTAAATATGCCTGACAGTATTTTTTTCAATAAAAATGTGCAAGTTCTTGATTCCGGGTTCGTTACCCAAAGGGTAAAGCGGGACCCTATTACTAAGACTCCGCTGTCTGTCTGTCTGTCACCAGGACAGCCTGGACCTCATCTCATGAACCTTGTTGTAATAACAACGAATACTAAAAAACAGAGTATTTTTTTTAAGTTTTACCATAAAGCAGACATGATTTTGCCGTTTTTATAGATAATGCACTTCTATGCAATTACGAGTACAATGGATTAAATTAATAATTAGTTCTTATTAGAAAACATTTTTTCAACAATTCAAAACGTTTTTATTAGAACATTGCACAAAATCGGTATGAGCATATTTTTAATATTCTTGTTCAATATGTTTTGTAGTTTTTCATGAGTCCAGCTCTGATCATTCGAGAACTGTCACGAATTTGTTTATTATTGTTGTTTAGTTCTCGCCTGCTCGGCGTCTGAGCTGGGCCGCATAGTTGGAGGGGAGCCTACTAGCATCGAGAAATATCCGATAATAGTACAGGTTGAATTTTTGGTCGACTCATCCATCTGGACCCAAAATTGTGCCGGCAGCGTCCTGACATCCAGAACAATATTGTCCGCTGCACATTGCTACGTTGGGCCGTAAGTTACGCAATTTACTTTACGCAAATTTGTAGAATTTCAGTGATTCCTAGCGCTTACATTAGAATTTGCCCACCAAATGAAAAATTAGAAGTGCCAAACGAAAGTCTGGCGCGTGCTCATACCAGGAATAATTATGAGACAGTGATAATTGCATAAAGAAATTCAGAAATTGAGAAACTTACCGTTTCATTTTTCTAACCATTGACGTTGACGTTACAAACCAAATGAATTTATGTTTATTTCAGCTCATATTCTCCCCGGGAGCGTCGAATTAGAGCTGGTAGCTCCTACCGTTATACCGGTGGAACAATAAAAAACGTAGCACTCTCTCTCAACCACCCGACTTTCGGCCTCAACGACTACGATGGTGACATTGCTCTGCTGTTCTTAGAAGATCGCCTGGTCTACTCCAACGTGATCGCTCAAGCTGCTATTGCATCATCCACATTCGTTGTACCTGATAATTCGTCTGTGACTCACATCGGGTGGGGAATGGTCTCGGTAAGTACAGCGTTCACCAACGAAATAACTCCACAGCTACAATCACTAAATACAAACCCCCAAAACGTGACAAATACAATACGAAGGCCTGAATGACCTCTTTTAGACAATGTTGTAAAAACCTAGACAAAACCATTTAACTGTTGTGCCTTCCCTAGGTGGAATAAGGGAAGAATGACGATGATGCTCTTTTAGATAATTTTTCGGTGACATCATGTCACCAAAAGTATTTCCAGGTCGTTCTTACATATTTGGGGATTCTAAATGTACATGTGTTGTGGTCATCACTCTTCATTGAGAGCCGCTATCTCATGTATGAGCTCCCCTTGCTATAAAATATTGGAAGATGTTACAAAGAAACCACACATTTTATGTTATTTGTATGTTATTGTATACAAACTTGGTACGGTCGATGTATCGATTACACAGGAAGTCAGCAGCTTATAGATTTGGGTGTTTTAGACAGACAATCTGATATTGGCCGTACCGCATAAACGTAAACACCAGACAGTAGAGGCTGCCATAAACTATACCTGCTATGACACACGTGCTGGGCATAAATATCCTCTGCCAAGAGGCTTAATGGCATTAGGATATATGTATGATGTCTTACTCCACTTTAATTACCTCACTTACTTCGTCATACATTTAACATTTTAATATTACTATATTTATGCGTTAGTATGTTTAAATGTTGTATGTTTTTCTATTTATATATTTTATAGTATAACTTATTACATATCATTTTTTAGTATTATGCCTACGTTTTACGATTTTGTTTACTTCTATTTTTTTCTTTACATGTTAAGAGAAAACTCACTTTAGGGTTAAGCTCGCCGTTGCACATTTTTTTTTGTAACTTTGTTTTCAATTATACCCTGTGTGCAATAGAGAATGAAGAAAGTATATTACGAATCGTTTACACAATTGTTGAGCTTTCCCGAATCTGTTTTCAGCTGCCTGGCAATCGCTCCGAGGTCCTGCGCGAAGTCGACGTGCTGTCTGTCAACAACGACCTATGCAGGGAGCGGTACAAGACCGCTAACCCGCCGCGCGTGGTGACCCCGAACATGATTTGCGCGGGCATCCTCGACGTGGGGGGCAAGGGGGCCTGCTTCGGCGACTCTGGTGGCCCCCTCCTCTACTCCGACGTCGTGGTGGGCATCGTGGCCTTTGGAGAGGGCTGCGCCGACGCGACCGCCCCCGGAGTGAACACCCTCGTCTCACCGTACACCAATTGGATTGTGGAGAACGCTAATTAAAGTGTATCGTAACATCTCCTGTTGTATAACTTGATTCCGATTAGTTAACGCTTTTTCGGAGTGATTGTTTAGGTTCATCGCAAGTTGAGTTTGTAGTAATGCGGAACGTTTACAGCATTAAAGAATGTTAAACATTTTTAAGGTAATAATTAAATTTAGCTCAGGATCGTGCTTTTTGGCAGTCTGTGGGGGAGGCCTATGTTCAGCAGTGGACTCAGACAGGCCGGAATGACGATGATGATGATGAGTTAAATTTAAAATGAACGTTTAACACTAACCACTTGGCTAAATAAGAAATAATTATAATCTATAAAATATAAAGGAATAAAAACAAAACTGTAGCCTTTAATTTTGACTCCTATCATCGCAGATGCTACGGATCATTCCGTGATCTAATCACCAAATAACTCACAGTTAAATAACATATAGATATATTCATGAAATACATTTACTTAATTATTGACCCATTAACAACAATAAATATAAGGTTTAGTTAATACGTTTCTTATGTGTGTGATAAAAATTACTAAAAAGTTATAAATAATATCATTGACATAATTTGAGATTTCTCCGTAGTACCTTTTGTTCAAAGCATCGGGAGAGGACGGAATTAGAGCAGAGCTTCTGAAAGCGGGCGGAGAACCGGTACTTGTAGTCCTTCAGAGGCTCTTAAATTCCGTCCTTCAGGGTGGTGGTGGTCACGCCAGAGGCGTGGAGCAGAAGTGTGGTGGTGCTGTTCTTCAAGAAAGGCGATAACGCTCTCTTGAAGAACTATAGACCGATATCCCTTCTGAGCCGCGTCTATGTGCTGTTCTCAAGAGTCATCTTGAATCGTCTCGCTTCCAGACTCGACGACTTCCAGCCTCCCGAACAAGCCGGATTTCGAAAAGGCTTCAGTACCATAGACCACATACACACCTTGCGGCAGATTATACAGAAGACTGAAGAGTATAATCTGCCTTTGTGCCTAGCGTATGTGGACTATGAGAAAGCCTTCGATTCTGTCGAAATTTGGGCGGTACTCCAGGCTCTTCAGCGGTGCCAAATTGACTGTCGGTATATCGAAGTGCTGCGGTGTTTGTATAACAAGGCTACGATGTCCGTCCAAGTACAGTCCAGTAGTATAAAACCTATCCAACTGCAGAAGGGTGTAAGACAGGGTGATGTCATATCCCCGAAACTCTTCACCGCTGCGTTGGAAGATGTTTTCAAGCTTCTGGACTGGAAAGGACGAGGTATTAACATCAATGGCGAATACATCACCCACCTTCGATTTTCCGACGATATAGTAGGCATCATGGCAGAATCGCTGGAGGACCTGGGTGCTATGCTCAATGACCTCAACAGTGTCTCCCAACGGGTGGGCCTTAAGATGAACATGGACAAGACGAAGATCATGTCTAATGTCCATATCACGCCTATACCGGTTGTTGTTGGGAGCACTGAGCTCGAAGTTGTTGACGAGTACGTTTACCTAGGACAGTTAGTCCGGCTAGGTAAGTCCAACTTCGACGCAGAGGTCAATCGGCGAATCCAACTCGGATGGGCAGCGTTCGGGAAACTTCGGCAAATCTTCTCGTCGAATATACCTCAATGTTTGAAGACTAAAGTCTTCAATCAATGTGTGTTGCCAGTGATGACCTACGGAACCGAGACGTGCTCAAAGTCGCTCAGCGAGCTATGGAGCGGGCTATGCTCGGTATTTCTCTGCGTGATAGAGTTCGTAACGAAGACATCCGCAGTAGAACCAAGGTAACCGACATAGCTCAGAGGATTAGCAAGCTGAAGTGGCGATGGGCCGGCCATATAGCTCGTAGAACCGATAACCGTTGGGGAAGAAAGGTTCTCGAGTGGCAGCCTCGTACTGGCCATCGCAGTGTAGGACGACCCCCCACTAGATGGAGTGACGACCTGTGCAAATGTGCGGGAAGTCGATGGATGCAGGTGGCTCAGGATCGTACTTCATGGCAGTCTATGGGGGAGGCCTATGTTCAGCAGTGGACTCAAACAGGCTGAAATGATGATGATGATGACCTTTTGATTCCAGTATTTAAAGTGCAAAGGGAAACAAACAAAAATATCAACCACGTGAAAATTTGTGAATAAATTAGAAAAAAATGATATAAATATGATATAAAGTTTTACTTTTAAAATAGTTAGGGAATTCATTTCAGTAACGAAAAGAAAGTTTTTTGAATCCATTACAGTTTCATATTATAAACTTGATAAAGTATTCAAATTTAATCATAACTGAGAGAAGCTACACTTTGAGTGGGCAATATTTACGGGCTCCGTTTAAAAGCGGTCTATCTATACATCGTTCGAAGAATATAATAATATCACTGTCCTGAATCGTTAACTATCTAGACCCGGTGAGCGTGCTAGGTTTCCCGGGCTTCGGATCAATAATTCCCGCGTATTCCAGAATGTGCATTACGCAAGCGCGGCCGCCATCTTGACGTAGGCAACGGAGCCGGGATATAGTCTATGTGACGTTTGGAAAACAAAAACGACGGCGATAAACACACAAAAAATCAACGAAAATGAGCCCCGAACGAGAAACACAAGGTACGATCGCATTATTAATATATAAATATGATTTATTAACCAATTTCAATCTTGTTTTTATGTCATTTTCGTCAGTGACGTGTGCATTAACACTTTCGTGTTTATTTTCCTCCAAAGTACTCTAATGCCAAAGTACTCTTCGTCCTGTCCTGTTTATATCGTTACGTTACGTTATCTTACGACGTCGGATAGATTTCCGTATTTTTATGATTTTATTAACTCGTCCATCACAAGCGTGACGAATTGATTATGAGTTTATTTATTTAAAAGCTTTGATATTTTTACAAATCTAATCATATTTCCTGACTAACTGTATCAATTTATCAATTTTTAATCAACCGTAACTTAGTGTTTATGTTTACGGTTATTTTTTTGACATCTATTCTTGTTTAAACAAATCGACGTCGAATAATTTTTATCTAGAGATATAAAAATACTTTGTGAAGATAATTAATTCGCTGCCAGTTAGTTATTCTTATGTTATATTTATGAATAATTTTATTTTAAAATGACATTATAACATTTTTTTGAATAATAGAGGTACATTATGTTTGATACAACAGTTGGTAGTTAGACATTTCATAATATAGTTATTGCTTTTCCTTCACTCATATAAAACCATTTATCATAAGATAATTGTTTATATTAATTCTTTTCGGTATATAAATCACTAAAACTAGGAATTATCGGATCAAAATAAAATTTAAAATCTCTGTTCTGCAACGGGAGCTAGCGTATTTTTAATATTTTGTCTTTTTAAGTCCATCTGGTTGAATGTAGTTATGTCGATGATTTTTATTAGCTATTTTATTTTTCCTGGAATCTTTAGGTTTAACTTCAAATCGAATCAAATTTATGTTGTACCTTTATTTGAAAAAAAAAAAACCGTTTGAATGAAATTGAATTTCAAATTTTGCTTATCCGAGATCTTCAGCTGACGGTGGAATGCACGCGTACGTTTTAACCTGACTTAGTTCCATTACACATATAGTACTGAATGGAAACGTACGAGACATTTCGTACCGACACAAACTATTGGTAACATACAAAATGACTTAGATTACGATGTCAGGATAAGTGACAAGGCGAGACGCTGTCAATCTTTCCTTTGTCTCAGACCCCATATCACTCGAGACCCGTCTACAAATTGGTCTGTCCTAAAATGTCTTGTTTAATTTACGATTGGAAGAGAATGTTCCATTACATTTCACAATCATTTAGGTTACTTCATGAAAATAATAATAATCTTTACACTTGTTTTATTTTTTTAATTTAATTGTTTATTCTCAGGTGCACAGAAGTGCATTATTGTTATAAAAGTGATCCAAACGTATTATATAAAAGTCTTTTTAAATGATTTTTTGGGATTCGGATAATTTTGTATTTGATATGGCAATTTTATCAAAACCTAAAGACACCACACAGTACTGAAAATCCTTTGAGCTCTCTTATAAATATCCGAGTAAAAACTCAATTATTTTCGTTTATGAAATTATATTTTTAACTTGTCTCAGGATATGATTAAGGAAAACTTCAGAAAAATTTCGTCCTCGACAAACGGAAAATTAAACAGATGCGACAGACGTTAAATTATTATAATTGCATTTGAAAGCATCGAATAGATTAAACGTATAAGTCCCATAAAGCTTCAACATTTCGGATTAATATAATTAATAAGTATATTAGCTGTTTATTATCTTACAATATAAAAGGTTTCCGATTCGTCTGAAATGCAAATAATGAGAAAAATAATCAATTATTTGAATTACCTGCAAAAGTAATATACCAAATAAATTCATTCAAGTTAAAATTTAAAATGTTTTTGCTCTCCTTACAAAAGTGTAGCACTTAGTTGTCACTCATCATTTTCTATCCCTGTTTCCACGTCCCTCTTTCACACTCGCACGCGCGCGCGCGCGCACACACACACACACACACACACACACACACACACACACACACACACACACACACACACACACACACACACACACACACACACACACACACACACACACACACACACACACACACACACACACACACACACACACACACACACACACACACACACACACACACACACACACACACACACACACACACACACACACACACACACACACACACACACACACACACACACACACACACACATACATACACTAACTAAAGTGTAATATAACTTGTTGAGTAACCAAAATGTATTTTGCTGTCATTAGTGAAAAAAAATTATATATAAAATTACGCACACACGAACGCACGCACGCACGCACGCCACCACGCAAGCACGCTCAAACACACAAGTACGCACGTGCTTAGTAATTAATACATGATTCAATTCATCAATTTTTACTGTCGTAATTTAAATAATTTTGCTAAATAATGTATATCCAAATTGACTTTAAGGTTTAGTAAGTAAGATGTACATATGTTTGACAGAGTGCTGAGGATTTTGTTTCAACATACAAATAAAATATAATAATAAACATTTACCAAACATTTTGAAGATATGTCAAGTGTTCAATAATATCCACTGTCCATGATGATGCCTGTGCCTAGCAGAAAAATATATAATTTAAGGATTGTTAAATATATTTTTTGTTATTTTCAGAGTCGGAGGACATGTTGGAGTCCATTGACGAGCTCAAGGAGCGGCTGACTTCGATGAAGAAGATGATGGAGGAACGAAAGGCCACCGGATCCGGCACCAAGGACCTGTTTCAAGGCCACGCGAGGAGCCTCCAAGGGACCACCATGATCGATGGAAACTTCCTCAGCTTTGTGTTCGGTGGCTCCCTCTTCGTGATCCTCAGCGTGTCTGTCTACGCGTTCTACAACCTCTATCACGCCGTTTTAAAGAAGTTCCCATCGAGCCACACGGAATTGTAAACTGTTAGGGCGATGTTCAAACTTTTATGTTATAACGATGGTGATAGTTATCTATCAGTTGTACTGTGACGCTAGAAATGTTGATAATCCATAAAAATATGGGGATGTGATGTATCAGTTGCAGTTTTATTTTATTACCCTTCAAATGTGCATCATAGCATTGACTTCTAATATTTGTAGTTGAGATATTCGTCGGTGTATAGAGATAAGAAGAAATAAATACAATTAAAACATGTAGAAAGAGTACGAAAAGATTATCGCCGCTGTGGGAATTGAACCTACGTCTTCGGCATTCGCGGCCTGACGCTCTAGCCACTGAGCTAAACGGCTGATAGCCACAGCGACGAAAATCTTAACGCCTTCTTTCTACATTGTTATTTAGCATTTGAAGCAATGCTTGGCGTATCTATTGTTATATCCTTTCCAGCATACAAACAATTTCGATTTACAACGATAATTCGAACGAGAGACGTCGCCATTGCTTTTTATAAATTAGATTTATGTATATTTTTCTACATGTTTTAATGTTCAATCTTAATTGCAGAGATTAGCACTATAAAAAACTTTAAAATAAATAAAACAATTTAAAAATTTGTCAAAAAACGGTGAAAGAAACGTCCCCAACGACGTTTCCTTCTCGTCCATTATTCACTATAAATAATTAATATCCCTTATAAAAATCTTCGAGTTCAGTAATATGTAATGTGTGGGCCTCACACAAAATGCTAGGATGTTGAAGACATATAAATATGAATGTTTTTATGTCGGTAAGCACGTGGATGATTTAATTGATGTTATTCGCCTATGGACTATGGACAACATCTAAGGATTTAATGATTAAAAGAAATAAATAAAATATTAAAGTAGGCCACGCAGCGGCCTCGGCTGTTGCACGAATGGACAGGTTCGTCCGGGTAAGTACCACGACCTCACAGAAGACCGGCGTAAAGTGGAAGTATACTTTCACGTTTCGTCTGGTGAGTGAGGTGGCCGGAGCCCAATTTTCAAAAGGTTGTCAACGCATCTGCAACCCTCGGGTGTAGCAGATGTCCGTGGGCGGCGGTATTCACTAAACATCAGGTGAACCGTCTGATCGTTTGGCAACTTTTCACAAAAAAACGCCCCGGCTACCCTATTTATCAGACGATTTGCGCAAGTTTTCCAATTCATTTCCAATTCACTCTGGTCTCCTGTGAGGATTTGGTACTTTCCTGGACGAATTTATTTTTATTACAAATAAAGCAAAAACAAAGTAGTATAATAACACAACGGAGACATATGAATATACAGTAAAAACATAACTAGCAAACTGCGCCAGTGAGAATATGCTTTTACTTATTTATGGTAATTATGACAACGTTTTTGACTATCGATTATTTTGGTTAATAACAATCTGTCAATATTGTCCGAAAATCTTATATATAAAAATGAATTGCTGTTCGTTAATCTCGCTAAAACTCGAGAATGGCCGGACTGATTTGGCTAATTTTGGTTTTGAAATGTATGTGGCAGTCCAGGGAAGGTTTAAACGATGGGAAATTGTGGAAAATTTGCATGGACAATCGAAATAGCAACAATTTTATTTTCCCATATAAACCCCTTGTAACCCGTCAAACACTTTATGCGTGCGTTCCGATTCCTCTAGAAATATTTTTTATGGTAAAACAACGTTTGCCGTGGTAGTCTTCTAATAATAATCTTCTTCTTGGTGGCACCGTTGCTAAGCTCGATTTTTTATAAAAACTTTGAAAAAAAGAATATGAGCAAATAAAGTTGACAAATACTTTCGCGTTTCGTCTGGTGAGTGAGGTAGCCGGAGCCTCAGTTTCAAAAGGTTGTCAACACATCTGTAACCCTCGGGTGTAGCAGATGTCCATGGGCGGCGGTATTCACTTACCATCAGGTGAACCGTATGCTCGTTTGGCAACTTTTCACATAAAAAAAAAAAAAAAAAAGTTAGTTCAACAAAATTCGATTTTACTTAAAATGCACTTAAGATTGATGAAGAGATTGAGAGAGAAAAGTATGTTTAAGTGCGTATATCAGTTTTCTACTACCCATAATACAAGCGTTGCTTAGCTTGGGACTAGAGAACGTTGAGTAATAAATGTGTCCGAAAATATTATATTACATATTATAAGATTTTTCATTTTATGATTGATAGTTACAAATCTATTATGTTAGCAAGCTTTATCATAAGGAATAAGTAGGTATTTATAGCGATAATTATGCACTCATTACAAAAGTTCACCATACAATTGCTGACTGTGCTTTATTTAATAATAAACATTTAACTTCACTAAATTTTATTCAGAGTTCAGCGTAATTTTTGTGTCTGGGCGTGAAATTCGGGCAATTTAATAATACGTATTTAATCTCCTTGCTATCCCTGATTATTCTGTGTTGTTACTAATAACTTTTATTTGTCATGAAAAATTTTACGATCCTCTTCATTCCATTACACGAGATTGCAACAAACAATGAAGGCTATGTTTCAAATGTCTCAATTAACTGTGCTGACGGCATTTTATATGAGCCGTAATAAAGCGTTGGATCAGCTATGTGCCGTTTAATATTCCTTTTGATAGAGTAACTGCTTTTCCGAAACACACTGGACCAATTACTGAATTCGCAATGCGTGGGCGTCTGTAATGCTGCGTGGGCGATGACTAATTGCTTTCTCTTAGCTACAAATAATACTGAGTAAAGGATACTATGGCCTGTTTTTAGGGTTCCGTACCCACAGGGTAAAACGGGACCCTATTACTAACTCCGCTGTCTATGTGCCTGTCTGTCTATCCGTCTATCACCAGGCTGTATCTGATGAATCGTGACAGTTAGAGAGTTGAAATTTTCACAGATGATATATTTCTGTTGCCACTATAACAACAAATTCTAACAAAGAATAAAATATTTAAGAGGGGCTCCCACTCAAGAGATATGATTTTTTTGCCGTTTTTATAGATAACTAGCAACGTGCCCCGGCTTCGCACGGGTGCAATGTAGTATATAAACATATAAACCTTCCTTTTGAATGACTCTATCTAGTAAAAAAAAGTCGCATCAAGATCCATTGCATTATATTTAAGCATACATAGGGACAGACAGACATCGAAACGACTTTGTAGTGATGTACGACTATGCAGTGATGGTACGGAATCTTACTTGTGCGAGTCCGACTCGCTCTTGGCCGGATTTTCAACTCTTCTTTCGAACTATACAAATTTGTTATTATGTTCGAACGTATTTCGCAACAAAGGCTAAAATCTCAAAGCAAGGACTGTTAGTTTGTTAATTGGGAACGGTTAATGGCAATTTTAAGTGAAGTGAGTTTTGTGCATACAATAAAAGCTGATGCTATCGATATTCATAAAGTTAAACTAAAAACTAAATAAAAAACGACTTTATAAATAATTGAGATTCGTAGAATAAAATCACAACCTCACAAGAATTGAAATAAGTTCTTTAAAAGGTAAATACGTTTCTCCGAATTGTACATTTTACCTTTGACTAATAGGAAATAAGATAGCTTGTCTCACCGGTGCTAAGTGCGTAGGCTGAGAATCGTCAAGCTTCCTGAACACATGTCGATTCGTAATTTGTAATCTTGTTCCCTCCCACGTCACTAATTCCACGAAATGTCCGATTTAGAAATGCATGAACCGTCCACACCGATTCCACTCAACGTCCGTGCCTCTCCCGAGAACATCCCAAATAGGTAGTTTGAAACAATTTGCGCAGTGACTACGGTAGAGACTGCGCAAATTATATCTAGAGACTCTACCTGCATCCTTTTTTTGGTGTTACTGCTTAGGTGTTAATAATATATTACGGTTATATTGTTACCTCGTAGACTCAAAATTGTTATTTCCTGTTTAAGCTTAATAATCTATCAATGAATTATAATATCATAATAATATTCAGCCATCAAATTTAATTACTGATGACGCATAGGTCTGCTAAATTTATTACACACAGCATAGATGATATAGTATTTATATTTTGAAATATATGACGCTAAATATCCATCTACAATATTTAAACCAAATATATTTGAATTGCATAAAGTTCTGAGTATTTTAAACTTCACTGAATTATGTAGAGCGGATTGCTACGAACTAAAAAATAGTCCAAGAGGTTGTTATGTTTACATCAATGGTTATTACTTTATGATAATTGTTTCTATCATGTTAAAATGTTAGTATAGAATGTGATATCGCGTTAGATATAGATCGATAGAGAATCCTTAATTAATTCGGATGTTTAAATAAAAAAGAGAAACAGGATTAAAACTGTTAGTAATTTGCTAAAAATGACTACTTCTGAGCTCAGTTACGACTAGAAAGCTAATTTCATTACCACTAACATATTCTTTAATGAAACTGCCGCAACTTATTACTAATTTAAACAGACACAAGAATATCACAAGAAATGTTTCATAAATTAACTATCGAACATTTTAAGTCAACAATTCAACCAGTTTTTACTCGTCTTTCTTCTTTTATGCCTAAAGTTAAGGTTATTAGTTTAACAACAGCATGAACCTTTTTGCCCCACTATATTTCTCCTATTTTTTATTTTAATATTTATATATAATATAATATATATAAATAGACAGAAAGACAGACATACTGCGGTTAGTTTATTAAATACTTATTTGGGCCTTATGATTTCTAAATAATAATTTGAATGCTAGAATGTTTTAAAACCAAAATTGAAGACAATTTCAAAGAGTCGGAACTTTGTAACAGATGTTGAACTTCAGAGGTCATAAGATTAAATGATAAAAGTATACGTAAGATGTGAAGCATATAAACTTTCGAGTTGAAATGAATAATTAACTAAGATAGACGTAGACGCTTACTTAATTCATTATTTCGTTAAATCAAGCCGTGTTTAAATCCCAGTGCTGTAACTAACCAACGAAATTGTTAATTGTAATTAACACTAAAGACTATCATTAATTAAATTTATTATATACTCAGTATTGAAGGAAT